AATACCACGTGCGGGCGCGCACGTACAGTGCGATTAAAACTTCGTGGCCCATGCGCAGAAGTCGGTATTTTGTGGAAGAGCCACACTCAAGGGGCCAAAGAGCCGCATGTGGCTCGCGAGCCACAGTTTGCCGACCACTGCCTTAACCAATAAAGAAATTAAAGATAAAAATAAAAAGTTTGTATGTACATGGAAAACTACTGGAAGAAATGCAGGTTAACTATGGTTAACTATGGTTAACCTCAGGTAGTGGAACTCTTGGATAACCTTTGTACTGTTTCAAATTTTACCATGTGCATGGATTAGCTCTTATCACCATTTCACCTTGACTAATAATATATTGTACCTTGGATTTCTACTGTGTAACATGGTAATACTACTTGCCCAGCCCCCCTCCCCAGAGAATTGTGAATACTAAGTGAGAAAACACAGGCACATGAAAGTGATTTGTAAGCTCCATGGAGTGGTAATAAACTGTAACCGTTAGGCATTGTTGCTAATCATGATCTTTTTAGCAATAAGAAATCATTTTGTGACCCAGAATTTACAACAAATGTGTCTGAGGAAAATTTAATTTAGGGGGAAAAGGTAAATGAGAGATAAAAGCTAAGAACATGGCTATAAAATGTATTAGTGGAGGAAGGCTTTTGTCGTATTTTTCCCTAGATCAAAGCAGAACGAATAAAATGGGTCTAGAAAATATACAAAAGCTTGTGCAAATGCTTTTTTTTTACATTTCTGTGCTAAATAAGAATTTAATCTAACATTACATATTTTAAGATTCTTAAAAATGAAGACAGAAACCTCACATGAAGTTCCACAGAGGCCTCCTAATTACAGGCGAGTCAGCTGAGGCCAAGGTGATCCAAAGAGAAAGACGTTCCCTCCATGCTGGGTGAATTTTAAGCAGGTGTTTGCAGGTATCAATAAAGCTAATGTTAAGGGAAAATAGAAAAACAATGATTCCTCAGGGTATTCAGCAGAGACTAAAATTGCAACAAACTAACCCCCTACACTCACTATTAAAAGCTCATTAACTCCCAGCTGTTCATCCATTAGACTGAGAAGGAGAAAGAGCCAGCGCCCTCCCTGTCACATATTTCTACCAGAGGCTGCATCTCGGAACAGGGAGAGAGTCAAACGATAAGATAACTATCATAATTATATCACAGGCTGCGGAGAAGGCTGTGCGGAGTATAATAAACCTCTCCCACAATGAAAGTCAGACTGCCCAAAGCCTGCGTGCAGGGGACACAGGGCGGAGGCTGCATGGCCAGCGACACGGCGGCTCGTCCTTGAGCC